TTCAGTAGCAGCATTGGTACTGTCGAATTAACATATTATGAATTACTGAAAAGTAGAAAATAAAACAACTAAATAGCGGCATATGATACGCCGCCGGTCGGCTGGTATATTTTATTTTACATATGTTTCTAACAATAAGAGATTGGCTACGTTTACGTTTTAGTTGTGACATACAATGTCATAACGTTTGACTTGCAGAAAACGTAGAGTTCTAATAAAATGTTCTTTATCAGCAATGTATTTGCTGCTAACGAAGTTGGTTTCACATAGAACGCAGGTGGCTGTTTCGTGTTCTGATTGTGTGTGCTTTCTTCTTTCTTCGTCGTTGTTGAAAGAGGGTAGCGGGTAGGCGGTATCCGCACACTACCTTCCTGTGTGGGGACTGTATTTTTGCAGATTTTGTTTTCCTGTCTTTTGTTATATTTGGACTGATGTGTTTTGTTGTATAATTATGTATCGATATTAACATGTGCTTTTCTAGCATCATGCTTGTGACAATTTATTAAATAGGATTGATTTTTTTTAGATATACATTCTTATATCTATAATATATAAAGCTCAATTCTGTATGTAACATCTAATAAATAGGATTAATCTTTGTGTTCAAAAGAAAATAAAATGACTGATGCAGCAAAAGGGAGGAGTGGTGTAAATTGAAAGTTTTCTCAGCTATACAAAATAAATGTTACATTTTCTAAAGGTTTCCGCTTTGTAAAAAGAGAAGCCGAATAAGTAAAAGTTGCAAAAAAGTACGAATCATAACTTACAAAGTTGTTGCAGACACATTGTAAGTAAAAAAATGTACTCAATTTTGCATATTATTTTTCAATTAATGTTAATAATCTGTTTACGTAAGTTTTGGAACCAAATGGTGGTATTACCTCCCTTATCAAAATGAAATAATAAATACGGGAGGTAACTGTTACAAGTAAAAATAATTTCGTGGATGCATTTAAATAGGGATTATTGTGATGGTGCAAGTCAAATGCGTCGCGAGGCAGAAATATGCTTTTCCCCAGGTCAGTGATTGACTAATTAACGTTAAAAAGTCTATTTAGTACAGATTGACGATCTCGTAAAGGGAGGGAGGGGGGATGGTGACCCCATTGCAAACTTGCTAACTATAGAGAAAACAATGATACATCCATCTGAATAATTTACAGAGGAAGAAAAGTTTAGTGGAATATGTTCAATACAAGTAAATCAGTGACCGGGGTGGGTTTGAGACAATGTCTAATTTACTTTTGTTTCCACTTGAGGTATATGTAGTTTAATAGAAAAAAAGTGTGTGTGAGGGGTTGGTATCACCAATTGCATATATATATATATATATATATATATATATATATATATATATATATATATATATATATATATATATATATATATGGTAATCTATCGTTTTGGGTACTTAAAATCGCCCGCGGTTATTAATGTATGAAAACGTTACCTCATTGTCAAGGCTTTAATAGAGGTATATTGTGATATGTTTGTGTCAAATATTATAGATAAATGGATAATAAACCTAAATCAATGGCTAAATATATCAATATAGGCCAGAAATCAACTTTAAACAGCAGTGTCTGCAAGCAAGATTTGCTATATAAACAGCAGCGATGTGTAAAATAGAGTGGCTTCCCCCTGAATCTTATAAAAAAAACTTTTTTTTTTTTAATCTTATGGTGTGCGTATGTGTTTTAAGTGCAGTTGGAGGACAAAAGATAGGGGTCGGACTTGGCTCGTTACCTGGCCCTGATTAACATTTTGTTTTTCCACACAAGTGGGAGTAGGCCTACTTGTGGTAGCATGACTACTTGGTATGGCTCTGAGATGTTTACTGTTGTACTGCTTGTGGTGTTACGTCTATTGCTTTGTAATTGCAGGGGCATCAGGGTGTGTTACTTGAACCATTGTAAAGTGTGTCCATTTTTTTATTGTTTCCCTTTCTGTCTTGTATTCGTCGCCTCGAGGTCCATAAGGTCATGTCCTCTACGTCGATGGTACAAGTCGGTCGCAGGAGCTCATCATTCCACGGGTTTTACTAGTCTGTTGATGTAGTCTGTCACGTTATGTTTGTAGTTGTCCTTCATAAGGCCTGAACTACAGAATGTCTTGGTCGCCGTTTGGCTTGGTGTGTTGTGTGCTTGTTCCCTGCCTTGTCGTCTAACAGTGTGTGTGTGTGGGGGGGGGGATTGTAACTTGGCGGTAGGGTGCCAGATCTGCGCATGTACTTATTGAAGAGGGGAATAATCGCGTGGTCTCCCTTTTTACCCGTCGCTCACTGACATCAACAACTGAGTCAGTGAGCGATTTTTTTTTAAAGTTAAGCGTTTCACATACAGTAGCTATCACACAATATTACCCAGGGTTATCCAAACTTGTGTAGCAGTTACACACTTTAAAATAGTGAGGCTATCAAAACAAACCTTTGCTGTCGTAAAATGTATGTAACAGATATTCCTCAAGGGGAGGAGATATATTTGTTTAGATTAAGACTTGTTAGGTCAGTAGCTAGAAACATGTTGAAAGATTAATAACCTGACCAATGAGAAGTTAGATGATAAGCCATGTGAGGCTGAGCAGGAAGTTTAGAATTAGATCGTTGCGTAGTTGGAGGTTATAGTTGAATTGTTGCAGTTCAGTAGTGTATTTACAGATGAATGGGCTTTAGAATGTAGAGTTCCACAATAACAGCTGATATCCGTTAATGTTGGGTGCACATGACAATTTAGCATATATAACAACTACATTACAAATGATTAAGTGTGGGCGCTATCCCACAGCCGTCTTGGTTTGTATTTGATGTTTGATGAGTTGATATGGCCGCCTCTAGGGCCATCAATCTACCCTAACCAAATGACTAGGATCCGCGTAATAAATAACCGATATTACACTTTGATCTTAGCCAAAAAGCCGAAAAGCAAACTGATTTAATGTATACATTTCTGAACAAAATTGTGTCAACAGGAACATGTTAGATATACACCATTAGGTCTAGTTTAAGAATACATTGATTTGATATATAGAGGTGCTTTAAATATGTCTTATATGAAATGATGTGTATTAAATTGTTCAATTCAAGAAAATTATTGAACACATACATAAAGGACACCACTTAACAGTGTGTCTTGTGAATGCAAACATAAATACAGAAGTATCAAATATCGTTTAATATAAAAAGAGAAATACACCTTTTTTTTTAAAATCGCCATCATTAATGTGTTTTGTTAAACTTGAATTTGCTTTTTTTTTTTTTAATATCGCACTTAAGATCCTGTTCACTAAAAGTTGATTCTTAAGCATCATGTACATAACGTATTGACTAGCCGGATAAGGGGTCATCCATAAATGACGTCACACTCGTAGGGGGGAAGGGGGGTCCGTAATTTTGTGATGATGTGTGATGAGGGGGAGGGGGGGGGGGTGTCAGATGTTGCGACGTCACATTTTTGCATTATAAAAAAGCAATGTTAGAAAACGAATTTTAGACGTTATTTCGCGTTTTAGATAACTGTTTTAATAAATTGTAATAGTTTAGACAAGATTTTGGAAAAATATCAATGTTTAAAAAAAATTCAACTGCAATTTTGAGGGGGGTTGTAGGTTGAGGTGTGACGTCATTTTAGGGGGGGGGGGGGGTCTGGCTTTTTGTGACGAAGTGTGACGGAGGGGAGGGGGGGAGGTAAAAATCGTCAAAAAAAGCGTGACGTCATTTATGGATGACCCCTAACATAAATCATGTTCATAATATATTGACTAGCTGGATGTAGGCAAATATAACCGAAGTGGAGCTATGTAAACGACACAACCGTTATATTAGTGAATGTCTTTATGTAGTCGTAGATCTGAACACTATGTATCTCCTCTTCACCCAATGTGTGGATGTTCCAATGAATGCACGTGACTGAAACCCTATGGTTTTGTTTAGATATTGACACATATAATGCGCCACCTTCTATGAATAGGATTGACTCAACATAACATATGTTAGACAACAATACGTTAAGAAGCTTTAGTTTTGTTTAGTTAGACGTTACATTAAAAATCATGTAACCATGGTTTAGATCTAGATTACCAGTAGGGCCTACATGCAGTGTATCGTATTATTGTGTTTAAGGGATTTACTACATGCAAATAACATTTCTAATACATGCCCACATTACTTGTGATCAGGCTCTACTGGTGGCGAATCAAAGAAGGGTAAATGTGATGGTGTTTGTAATGTGGATGTGTGATGGTAATGGTGTGATGGGTTGATAGTTTTTGTGGTGATATAGTGAAGGATGAAGTAATGTGGTGCGTGACGATAAACATTGTGGCGGGGATTGTGTGGTGATAGTGCTGTTGGTAGTGAGGGATTCTATAGGACACAATTGCCGTAGCAGATAGTGTATAATGATAGATGTTGACATTCAAGTACAAGAAACATGTACATTACACTCGACATTTTGGATAATCACGAGAACAGTTAGTTATAGAAGACGGTTTTAAACAGATAGGTGCTGTACATATACACAAATTATGGAATAACGTATTGAATTATTATTTTACTACATTTTTAATGTTTTGTTGAGATCAGTGGCGAAACTAGAAAAAAAGGGCCACCCCGCAGAGAACTTTTTTGGGCCCCATATATATATATATATATATATATATATATATATATATATATATATATATATATATATATATATATATATATATATATATATATATATATATATATATATATATATATATATATATATATATATATATATATATATATATATATATATATATATATATATATATATATATATATATATATATATATATAACGAACATACCAACATAGGATACTCATTTCGGGCTTGTTCGAGTTTTTTTTTAAATAAATTAAAAACACTTGTTTTTAATTAAAATTTATAAACAAGTTACAACACGTCATTTACGTGACTACTATTAATCTGTTTTGAAAATCTTTTTTTTTATTTTTTTTTTATTTTTTTTTTTAAAGTTGTCAAGATTTTATTTATCTGAAACCAAACTAAAATTCTCCAGCACACAAGCTGATAGAGTTAGAGAAGAAAAAAATTGGCTCAGCACATGAACGGCCCTTATGTATACAGGACAATGTGTATCAGGTTATGTGGGAGTCGCTGGTCAGCTGACTAGGATTCAGGTGTAATCTTAACACCTTTTCTAATCTGACCCCAGCCAATCAGCCTCCAGTGCTTCTCTATACGTCTGCTTAGGGCAATTTTCTCCCCGACCTCAGTGCACACAGGTGTTGTTAAACCAATTTTTGCTAAATCAGCACGAACAGCTAACACTCGACCTCCAGTAGACAACGAGCCAATGTTGACCATCAATATCTCATTTTTACTCAGTTTTTGTACCTTAGCAGCCTTCTTATCCCCCTCTGTCTTGACTCCAAGCAATCTTCTAAGGAGGAAGAAGGAAATCTCCAGCTCTGTAAAGATGTCAGGCAGTGCACCAACTGCCCCCAGTACTTGACCAACCAAGCGATCTCCTCTGCATAAAGTTGGGTCCATTTTTGTACCAACACCTATCAAACCACCAGGTACTGCATACTGTAAATCATTCTGTTCAGCATAGAGTGAGATAATTTTTGAAAGAATTGGCCGGCATGTTAGCTTGCCATCCTGATCTCTTGACACTACTCCAGGCCTTACTTCTATCTCTTGGTTTACCTTTAGGACTCCTCTGAGGATTGAACCACCAGCAACACCACCCAGTATATCGTCAACTTCACATCCAGGTTTGTTCACATCAAAGGATCGAATTACAATAAGCCTGGGCTCTGAGAGGAAATCTCTGACAGGCACGGGGATCCTTTTGATGATGTATTCACATATTACATCAATGTTATACTTCAGCTGTGCTGATACTGGAACCACTGGAGCCCCTTCGGCCACAGTTCCTTTAACAAATGCTTGAATATGTTCATACTGCTCTTTGGCATGTGATTCATTTACAAGATCAATTTTATTTTGTAGGATTAGTATATGTTTCAGCTTCATGATTTCTACAGCTGCTAAATGTTCTGATGTTTGTGGCTGTAATGGTTTCTCGCCCTATGTTTATTTTAAAGTTTTTTTATTTATTTATATTATTATTTTTAAATGCATTTCCTTTATATGCTTTGTCATTCTTTATTGTGTATTTTTATTCAAATAATAATTAAGAGAAGTAATTGCTTTTTAATTTGTTTAGTGCAAATCTATTTGAAGTTGCTTAAGAGCAACATATTTGACTATTTAGAAAAGGGAAATAAGTCATGGAAGTGGTTAGAACGTTTGCGTATCTTTCACGCGATGGATTTATTTTCGAAAGAATTTTGCCGACAACAGCATGTGTTTGATTGTATGAGAAAGAGGACTCGAGATGGTGTCTATAGAATAAAGATAATCCAACTCCAGCTGCATTATTATTTTTACAAAACAATTATTAAGTCAAAACTGCAAGAAAATTATTTGTTTTAAACTGTAAAAAAAATTAATTATGGTCGGCTGTGGGCCCCTAAACGGCCCGCCCCCCCCCCCCCGCATTGCGTGGTCTGGCGGCACTGTAGTTCCGCCCCTGGTTGAGATGTGTACGGTGGTTGTACTTTATTATTTTCTTTTGAATGTTCAACATGATCTTGTTATGAGTGGGTTGCACAGGCATTCTTAAATGTGTCTTTAATTTGTATTTAATTATTTATTAATTATTTTCCCCGCCTCAGACACGTAATTTATAGCGTCAGTTGTGTGTTCGCTTTAGTATTACAGTTTTCATCACCGGCTTGTGAGGACTGGTACAGATTTACAATAGTAATATTTCTTTCTTACTTGTAGTCTACTGTTCTTAATTTGTATTTATTAGTGTAGTAAAAATTATAAAAACTTAAACAATGATTTGCTTTTAAAATGTTACTATTATGCATTTTTTTTCATTTTTAAAGACTTTAGGAAACATGGTATAATAGAAAGAAAATAGAGTGACTTTTTAAAATTGTATTAGTATGCAATTTTTTAATTTTTTAAAGACATTCGGAAACATTTTGTTGCTTGTTTTCTGTGACTTATTGTAGTGCTAAATGGGAAGGAACTGGGAATACATCACAAAGAGTACAAACAAGATAACCATCAACCTGTAGAACATAACCCACTCTTCTGACAAATTACACAACTTACACGATGAAATGATGATAATAGTCATCGGGTGTTGTGATGGTCATATTTTGTCACTTCTGATACCAATGTAACACTACGTTGTTATTGTGAGTTCTTTCTTTCAAGATTATACAATAGACTGCTGCTCTTTTTTACAACTTTATTTACCACAGTAACGAATACATTCATTCAGTTATCAAAACAATTCAAGCCCTAACCGTCAACACACATAGCTTCCCCTTGCATTCATCTAGGTGGTTCCCCGAAATTCTCATTTACCCCGATTATATAGACCTACATTCACTCCCTCCAGTCAGTGAGCGATCTACAAAAAGCATGTACAATTCAGTGATTGGTCGCTCACACATTCACTTTCGATGGCCAGGTATTCAAATCTAACACACGTTTTACTCCAAATACAATTTACCAAAAACAGTATGTTACATTTAGTAATTACCAAATACTATAACACAAAGTGATTATTACATTTTAACATTAATATATACACAATATTATAATGGATTAGAAAACTAAGTATTTACAAACTTTAATAGACTTTTTAACTTTAATTAATCATTCATTGAACTGTCGAAAAGCATTCTTTCTTCTATATATTTAGCAATTATTTTTTTTTGACTTGGTGTCATCCCATCAAAGCTTGACTGTAGCTACGTGTACAGTTAATATAAACAACCATAACTGTCAAGATTTGACTTTATATTCGTTAAATTCGTTTAATAATTAGTTGTATATTTTCATCACACTTAAATTACACATACTATTAACATATTTATAAGTTAAAGCTGTTGTAATTTAAAAGACGTATATGTATTATATGTGAGCTAAATAACTATGATTTTATAAGGAAAGCTATAAAATCATGCATATATCGGTAAAGCAAAACATTCAAATGTGTGTATATCATTAATAATGTAAGCCATGACAGATGCATTTATTTGAAATTTAGAAGACCTTATGAGCATCAAAACCGACGATTATGATTTTTGATAAGCCCTAATAGACAAGACAAAATGCATGGAAAATACTAGCGTAACCGTCCTTCGCTTTATAGCTGTCTTACAAACTTTAGTAAGAATGTTTTATCAAGCCATTACAAGTAGGCCTACTGCATTTAAACCAAAGATATTACCTTTTTTTCTTAAGTTGAATGTGTTAAGTATAAACAACGACGGCGATATAATGTTTCTTAGATGAAGAGGCGCTGGTATATCCACACCCCAGTCAAGACATTAGTGTCTTATGTAAGTAGAATTAAAGGCAAGAGTAAAAATACTGTTTCAATTCAATTTACAGTCATTTGGCATAGTTTTACATTATTTTTTCAAAGTATACTTTGATTTTTATAATCAAATATGACGGTACATTTTGAAAACGATGTTGTAATATAAAAGTTGCATCGATGTTGTACACGTCTAACATTCGATGCATGAAGCTAAAGTAACGTTATACAGTTGTACACGTCTAACATTCGATGCATGCAGCTAACGTAACGTTATACAGTTGTACACGTCTAACATTCGATGCATGAAGCTAAAGTAACTTTATACAGTTGTACACGTCTAACGGAACGCACCTCTAAGTCATGTTGGTTTAGTGAAAACACTGTGAGCAAGGGGTTGGGTAAATTTGACGTTTTTTGTAGAAAACACTGTGAACATGGGGTTGGGTAAAGTGGACATTTGTGTGTTGTTGGTACGTAGTAGAATGATTGCAACCCCACTGATGATGTTTGTAAGAATCGTTTCAATAGAGTGAACCACATTATTGTTGCCTCCAGTATTTCCTACACATCCAGGCTTGATCAACTGTTGGAAAGGCGAAATATTTACTTGGTGTGACGATAAACTTTTTTTATTGATAATGTTTTTTGCAGTTTGTTTTGTTATTTTGTTTTCGCATTAGGTTTGTAATTTACATCGTCTGTTTGCTTAGCATGTTCGCTTTAGTATTACGGTTTTCATCATCGGCTTGTGAGAACTGATACACATTTACAATAGTAATATTTTTTTGTCGATTTTTGTTTGTTAACGTTTAAAACTAGTAATACTAATTTATTTGATGGTATAATACAGCTTCAAAGACATAAACATCATTTTGTTTTTGTTAATTGTGTGTATATAAGTTTTAGATTGCCGTTAAGCGTTGCTCAAGCGAAAAATTTTGCTTGCGTTAGAAAGAAAAGTGTACAAATTTAAAACTTCAAGAAATAAAATATAGCTTGAACTAAATAAAACTGTTATGATTAATATCAATTCTGACACGCTTGTATCAGCATACACTGTTGTTTAATATAAATTAAAACGTGTTTCCAAATTCATATCTAATTACCATTAAATTAGTATGTTAACAGTTTTAATGAAAAAAACGAACGAATAATTCCCCCTAAATGTTCTAATTATTAAATGGGAATTTACTACAATGTAAAATTTTGAATTATTTTAGCAATCAGTGAATAGCATCCTCATTAATTGTAAATTACAATTTGATCACTATTTATGAACATAGCTATGGACTAAATGCAAATATGGTTTTAAATTAATGAATTTGAAGTAACAGTAATTTATAACATTGCATTTGTATGACATTTGTTAGGTAACAACATTAAAACAAATCAGTTAAGCAGAACGACGGTATACATGCTAGTAACTACACGTTCACGTCATGTTGATTTTTGGGAAAACATTCAAACTCGATGTAGATAGCGACTGAGATACTTGATTGATGGCGTATACTTGTAAGACGATAATTACATAAACACAATGAGTGAGTTAGAACCATTTCGTTTTGTGTTGGTTATGTATAAAGTAAACACATTTTTTGCATGACTAAACTTTCTTTTGGCAACTACCCTCACCTATCTTGTCTAGTAGTAAATGTACGTATACTGTGCATCAACCACCTCTGTATGTTTAACGGAATAAATGAGTAAATGGGCATATTACAATTATTTTCATTATAGTTGTATTTGAAATACAATGTATTTTTTAAGCATAATTAAAATGCTATTAGTATAAACGTGTATAGCTTTTGTAAATAGTTTGTATAAAAGAGCTGTTATAGTGTACATTGTTACGACATTATGGCGTTTTGTACTAGTAGAAAATTACCTTTGTACAGCATGGCTCTTCTGGTATGTACACATTTTGTCTGTATAATATTAAAATAAACACATTAATAGATTGATTGTATTTTTTCGTCCTGAATCGTGTAATGTTAGCCTTATGTAGGCAAATGCTCCTTTTTTGTTTTAGTTTGTATCGGATACTAAGAAATGATATAGATTTACTAAATACAATTTCTTTCTTTTGTACTTGAATTTTCTTCCACAACCATTTCTTTATGCATAAATTAGAATATTTATTGTTAATTTCATCACACTAGAAATGTGAACATGTTTGTTTATAATAAGTGTATTTGTAGCGTCCTTATCCATCTGCATACTGTTCGCTTTTTTTACGTCTTTGTAATCTGCTGTAAAGACTAATATAGATTTACAATAATACAAGCTCTTTATGGTGTGTATTTTCTTTCTCAATAATTTAGATATGCATACACCAACATATATGATTTATTTAATTTAACTAGAAATGTTAATCTACTGTTTAGTAATCAGCGTGTACTTTTGTTAAAACGTCTCAATAGTAGTAGAAAAAACACAGTGGCAGCTACTATAGGTAAACTAACTTTAAACATGATTTTAGCCCTAACAGTGACACACCTCTACTTAAAATTTATTTTGACTGCATAAACAATGATGATAAACATAGATACAGCGTCAACATGTTTTATTAAAACATTACATCTGATTGCTGGATTCATTAAATCAAGAAAAATCCCTAGCCTCCTGTACATGATGTCTAATCTACGGACCATATTTGCTAAGATAGAATCTATGGAAC